TTTTTTTTTTTTTGAGACAAAGTCTTACTTTGTCACCCTCAGTAGAGTGCTGTGGCATCACAGCTCACAGCAGCCTCAACTCTTGGGCGTAAGCGATTCTCTTGCCTCAGCCTCCCAAGTAGTTGGGACTACAGGTGCCTACTATGTCTCACTTTTTTTTTTCAGTTTTTGGCCAGGGCCGGTTCGAACCCGCCACCTCTGGTATATGGGGCCAGCGTCCTACTCCTTTGAGCCACAGGCGCTGCCCCATCTCACTATTTTTTTTGTTGGTGTTGCAGTTGTCATTGTTGTTTGGCAGGCCTGGGCTGGGTTTGAACCCACCAACTCCGGTGCATGTGGCTGGCGCCCTAGCCATTGAGCTACAGGCGCAGAGCCTAGCCTGGCTATTTTTTAGAGACCAGATCTCACTCTTGCTCAGGCTGGTCTCCAACTCATGAGCTCAAGTGATCTATCCATCTTGGCTTCCCAGAGTGCTAGGATTACAGGTGAGAGTCACTGCTCCCAGCCCAGGACTTTTAACTACAGATTAATTTGGGAAGTACTGACATTTCTATGATGTCGAGCCCTCTCATTCACATGCATGCTGTATCTCACCACTTAGTCAGGTTATTTTATGTCTGTCATTAACTTTCATTAGTTTCCTCTATCCAAGTTGAAGCCTAGGCTGCTTCTGGTCTCCTCTAGGCTGAGATTATGTTCAGACTTTTTTCTGATTGCCTGGCTGCGGCCTCTCAGGTCCTTCTGACTCAAGGGGAGCCAGATGAATCCTTCCACCTTCAAAAGTCACCCCTCCCGCTTTCCACTGCTCAGCCACAGCAGGATTGATCACAGTCATCAGGATCTGAGAAGGGTTCTTGTGTTGTGGCTTGTTGCATTTTTTATTGTTAAATTAGAAAATTCGTCTTTTCCGAATGATAGCATCCAGCCCTCTCTTTCTCTGAGAATCGGCCCCCCTTGCCCCTTCTGTCTCCCTGATGTCTGGCACTCTTGCTTCTCCTGCTTAATTTAAAATTCTTCTCTTATCCTGCCTGGCCTTATTCCCTATGGTGCCCCACCAAGACCGACTTTGTCCCTATGTAGGGCTCACTCACTTGGTGTTGCCCACCCACCTTGACCTTTATTTATCCTATCCTGGGGTACTTTATCTCTTCTCTTAGGCCTAATCAGCTTCTTCACCCATTCAACACTTATTCAAGTCTCCTCCCGCTTTTGAAGCCCTCTTTACATTTGATATCACAATTTTGTGCATAATCATATACTTGCACAGACCCAGTGTGAGGAGCAGAGAAATAGAGTGACTCAAGGCAGACTGACAGGGGCTGAATTTTAGCCCACCAATTTTATCAGCTTCAACACTTTGAGCAAGTTACCAAATCTCTCTCAGCCTTGTAAAACAGAGATCACAATACCCATTTTGAGTATTGGCTCCAAACTATCCTGAGTTTTTTTGCCAGTAGGGACTTGTATCTTTCCTGGTACCTTATAGGAGGCTGTAAAATGTGCAATAAAGACTTGTGAAAAAGCAACACTTTTTTTTTGTTTGTTTTTGGCCCTTAAGAGACTCTCTCAATGGTATATGCTAATGAAGGAAGGAGTAGAGCATCCGATTTTTATTTTTTTTGAAACAGAGTCACAAGCTGTCGCCCTGGGTAGAGTGCCGTTGTGTCATCATAGCTCATAGCAACCTCCATCTCTTGGGCGCAAGTGGTCCTCTTGCCTCAGTTTTTTGTATTTTTAGTATAGACAGGTTCTCACTCTTGTTCAGGCTGGTCTCGAACCTGTGAGCTCAAGCAATCCACGTGCCTCAGCCTCCTAGAGTGCTAGGATTACAGGTATGAGCCACCTTGCCCGGCTGAGAACATCAGACTATTGAAACAAAACAAAACAAAACAGTTGGCCAGGTCCAGTAGTTCATGCCTGTAATCCCAGCACTTTGGGAGGCTAAGGTGAGAGGATTACTTGAGGCTAGGAGTTCGGGACCAGCTTGGGCAACATAATGTGATCTTGTCTCTACAAAAAATAGAAAAATTAACCAGGTGGTAGGCACAGTGGCCCACAGCTGTTATCCTGCACTCTGGGAGGTCAAGGCAGGTGGATTGCTTGAGCTCAGGAGTTCAGGACAAGCCTGAGCAAGCGAGACTCTATCTCTACTAAAAATAGGAAAACTAGCAAGGTGTTGTGGGGGGCATCTGTTGTCCCAGCTGCTTAGGAGGCTAAGGCAAGAGGGTTGCTCAAGCCCAAAGAGTGTGAGGGTACTTGGAGCTAGGCTGATGTTATAGCACTCTAGCTGGGGGAATAGAGCGAGACTCTGTCTCAAAAAAAAAAAAAAGGAAGAAGGAAGAAAAATTAGCCAGGCATGGTGGCACATTTCTGTAGTCCCAGCCACTACAGAGGCTGAGGCAGGAAGATCACCTGAACCCAGGAGTTTGAGGTTGCTGTGAACTATGACGACGCCATTGTACACTAGCCTGGGCAATAGAACAAGACCCTGTCCCCACTCCCCACCCCCCAAAAAACTCCAACTGTATGTCATTTCTGTATAAATTGTGAGTTTGGGTAGCAGAAAATTTTTCTCATTAATTCTACTTTGTGTGAAGTAATAATAAAGTCAGTTTGCATTCCCTAAGGCTAGAATTAAAACATTGCTTTAGAAAATCCACAACGTGGATTAATCCCAGTGTGACAAATGGAGCGCTGACTATGTTCTATTACTCTGATCAACGAGGAGCACATGAAAAGTTTGGGATGGAAATGCTTGGGATCATGAACCTCCTGAGAGATGTGCTGCTGGTTTTGAATATTACAGGAACACTCACAAGACAAATGTTCTAAATATCATTTCTAAATCTCTTCCCTCAAAAAAAGGTGCTGGCCTGTTGAACACAAGGAAATCACGAGGCCTCTTTCTTACCGGTTGTCTGTAAGCTTAAGCCTGGGTCCAGCTTTGTGTGGGGCTTTGCGCTGAGGAACAGGTAACAAAGCACACAGGCTGTGACAATAAAGGCCAGAAGGACCACTGCTGCTATGGACAGGCCCACGAGAGCGCCAACGCTGGGGAGAGAAGACCACATGGGAGCAGTGTCAGGAGGGGACTTGAGAGGCAGATGCTATGGAAGTGTTGTAGGAATCAGCTTCAGTTTTTGTTCTGTCCCTACCCGGTTTTGGAGGGGGGTTTTTGAGACAGTCTCACTCAGTCGCCTGGGTTGAGTGCTGTGGTGCCACAGCAACCTCAAACTTTGAGGCTCAAGCAATCCTCTTGCCTCAGCCTTCCAAGTAGTAGAAGGCCCGGCCACAAGGCCCGGCTAATTTTTCTATTTTTAGTAGCGATGGGGTCTTGCTCTTGCTCAGGCTCTTCTCAAACTCCTGATCTCAAGCAATCCACCTTCCTTGGCTTCCTAGAGTACTAGGATTGCAGGTGTGAGCCACGGAACCCGGCCTGTCCCTACCTGTCTTAACCTGGCTTTCTGTGACTCACCACACAAAAGGGCTCAGAAGCATCCCATCAACTACATGTCAAGTGCAACACCCTACGAATATAATATGACATGGCTCCGTGCCACCATGTAACTGGGACTCAGTATGTGTTCACTTTCTCTCTCCTCTCCTTCCTTCCCTGCTTTCCACAACCTGTTCGCACTCCAGGGAGCTGGAGATGGTCTTTTTTTTTTTTTTTTGAGACAGAGCCTCAAGCTGTCCCCCTGGG